AGAGGGCCCTGAGGGCAGGCCTTGACCTGCCTGTAGCCTGACCATGGCCCCCCAGTTATGTGATGGTCTTGAGGGATCCTGTTCCTTCCTACCTGCCCGGACCGTTCAGGGGAAGCAGGCAAGGGGGTGTCGTCACAAAGTCTCCCGCTGCTCCGTCACCGGGGCCGGCTCCCCGCTTCCGTGCCAGGGCCAGATGCCCTCTTCCAGGAAGCCCTCCCATCATCACCCTCTACCCCCTATCTTCCCCCCCCCACACACGGTGCCTGGTTCAGGGCGTCCCTGCCGTCCAGGCAGGGTCCTGTGTCCAGGTCCTGTCTCTTCCCAGACCGGCAGCTCCCGTGGCTCAGTGAGAACCACCCACCGGGCCCACTACTCACTTGCCCACGGCAAACACTGTGAGCCCGATGGTCAGGTTCAGCGGCTGGTAGATGTGTTGCAGCAGCTCGGGGTTGAAGGTTCCCTCCGAGACAATGGGCGCCAACCAGGGCGTGAGGGTCAGCAGCTCTGCAGGCCTGGCAGTGGGGGAGGCCGTGGGCACGGAGGCCCTTTCCCTGTGAAAGCCTCAGCCTCTCCCCGGCCAGGCCTCCTACGCTGTGTGACCTTGGGCAGCTTCATCCCTGTCTCTGAGCCTCACTATCCTCATGTGGAAGGCGGGGTTAGGAACACTTCCTTCCCAGCACGGTTGAGAGGACCGGGAGTTAATGCACACCGAGTGTCTAAGGGGGCCTGGCATCTCAGGTGGCTGCTAAGTGCCGAATACATGAGGGGTGTAGACTGGGCACCTGCTACGGAGCTGTGCTTCTGCAAACACCGTCCCATCATCCAGTCCTCCAAGCTGCTAGGAGGTGGCTCTTATTAGCCACTTGCATAGAAAGAAGCCCAGGGCTGTTGAGTAACCTGCCCAAGGTCACACAGCCAGTGGCAGAACCGGGCTGGACCCCAGGGCCACCTGATCCCCCCACCACCCCAACTTATAAATCAGAGCTCGGCCCACCCCAGCCTCCCTCCCCACAGCAGATCGCCCCGTCCCCAGGCCCTGCCCAACACCTACCTTTGCTCCAGAAGCTTGGGCTGAGGGTACAGTGACCTGTGACCAAAAAGGGCCAGTGGTGAGGGGAGGCAGCCCCCACCCCCCCGGGGCCACAAAGGGGGAAGTGACGGTCTGCTTACTGTGTCACAGGCTGAAATGGCTTCTGCCCCTTGTACTGCAGTTTCATGCTGCTGGTGGCAGAGGACAGAGAGAGCTGTTAGTGCCAGGGCTGGGGACAGACGTATTCGGTGCGGGAAGGACAGAGTGGAGAATAACCAACCACCCGCCCCCCCACCCCCCCCGCAAGGGCAGGCACCCTTCCAGGTTCCGTGCAGACTCCCTCTGCGCGCCCTTCCCCACTGCGTGCCCACTCTGCTAGGGGTGGGGGGCTGGGCTCCTACAGAAGCAGCCTGTCCAGGGTCACTAAGTGGCAAGGCCGTGATTGGTACCCGGTGCCGGCTGTCTCCCAAGCTGCTGCTGTCTCACACGCGTCACTCTGGAGGGGCCTGGCAGCGGACAAGTCTTGAGAAGCTGCAAAGGCCTGGTGAGCGCCATTCTGTTGCTTTCTAGCCTGGGGACCTTGGGCGAGTCCCTTTACCTGAGCCCGCGGCGACGGTCAGTTATCGTAACCAGTTACACCAACACCAATCACCAAGCGAGGGAGGCCTCGCGGTGATGGTGCATGGCGGGTGTGATTAACATCTACACCCGCTGCCCTTAGGTAAAGATTATCCCAGCGCGCCTGGGTGGCTCCCTCGGTTCAACGTCCACCTTCGGCTCAGGTCATGGTCTCGCAGTTTGTGAGTTCGAGCCCCACGTTGGGCTCGCTGCTGTCAGCGTGGAGCCTGCTTAGGATCCTCTGTCCCCCTCTCCCTGCCACAACCCCCTTGTGCTCTCTCAAAAATAAATAAAACATTAAAAACAAAAAAGATACTCCACGTGGCCTGGATGGGGTTGGTACAACCAGGTGAAAGGCGTTAAGAACAGAGCTGAGGTTTCCGTGATGAGATTCGGTCAGTGTCCACTCCCGGGGTCCAGCCTGCTCCGCGGAGTCCAGACTGGCTTAGCCTAGCGGGTCAATCTTTCTCCCTCCCGCCTCCTGTTTCTTTAGTGGAACCCTGACTGATGTCCCCACTTTTCCTCATCTGTAAAATGGGTAGCCATCCTTCACCCTGAGAGCTGCCTTGAGACTTAAACAAGGTGTGTGCCCAGGCCCAGCACAGAGCAAACGCTTGTTAAGACCAGGCGTCTTGTCCCCTTCTTAGCAAGCGGCCTGGGCGGCCAGCCTCCGCCAGCAACAGCCAGGTTAGCCTGGGTGGGCAAGTAAGAAGGAGGTCCCTAAGGACGGAGGCTGCAAGGTGCAGAGAGCCTCTGGGTCTGCCATTAACTGGCTGGAGATACCTGGGGCCAGACATTTGACTCCTCGGGCTCTAGAGTCCTCCCAATAAAGTCCTCCCCCGAGGGTAGAAGTGAGGCCCAGAGAAGGCAAACCCCTGCCCGAGGACCTTTGGAGTGGATCAGCTCCTGAAGACGCCTGAGGTTGGCTGTAAGGGGCAGACCACCTGACGGGACGGTGACTGCCGCTCACTAAAGAATTTTCTTTTTGTGTTTTAAATGTTTATTTATTTTGGAGAGAGGGAGAGCATGCATGTAGGGAGAGGGAGAGAGAGAGAGAGAGAGAGAGAGAGAAAGAGAGAGAGACACAATCCCAAGCAGGCTCCAGGCTTTCAGCACAGAGCTGGACGCGGTCCTCGATCCCACAAACTGTGAGATCAAGACCCGAGCTGAAATCCAGAGTCAGACGCTTAACTGACTGAGCCCCCCCAAGAGCCCCGAGAATTTTCAATATGGCATATTTGAGAGGATAGCTTAAGCCTCCTTGAGCTTTCCTTCCAATGTTTAGTCTATGCTTCTGCTGCTGCTTTTTTTGTTTGGTTGTTTTGGGTGGTAAAATGTACAAAACAAAGATTTACTACTGTAACCATTGGTAAGCGTGCCCTTCAGGGGCATTAGGCACATTCGCACTACTGTGCAGCCGTCCCCGCCATCCATCTCCAGAACCTTCTCATCTTCCCCAACCCAAACCGTGTCCCCTCTCAACACCGACTCCCCTCTGCCCCATCTGCCCGGGCCCTGGTAACCATTATTCGAGAGCTCTGACTGTTCTGGAGATCTCTTACAAGTGGAATCCTGTAACACTTGTCTTTCT